ATACAGACTTCATTTGTTCTACACACAGACATACATTCTTTTTGGCAACTGCATCTACACCGTTAGTTTCTCATCCTGTTCTTATCGTGCCCAGGTGCTGTTGTTGGGACCTTGTGTTCTAACTATGAATCCAGCCATTGTCAAATTGTATTCTAAAAGTTTCTGTTTCCCATCACACCAAGTACTCCTCTTTTCACAACAAACCTTGGTTTTATCTCAACCTCGCAGCTCCTTCTCTACATCTGCATGTTTTCAGTTCTAGCTTTAAGCAGCATTTTATGTTCAAGCTGGTTATATGTTTTAGCACATCTCTTATGATCTTTTAAAAACATGATTATGTATGTTGCATACTTCTATAAAATATGAACAGATGAATACATTTCATCCACACCACCTAACATAACAATGTCCTTGCTGGTCTGGTTGTTTTACACAGTGGTTCAGGGACAAAGGGTGAAAATACTGGAAGTTTTAACACAAGTCACCTGGAAGGTCAACACTGCAGCAAAGCTGTAATATAGGAATATAAAGCAGCCCCAGTAACTGCAGCAGTTTGCACTGAGGTCAAAAGAATAGAATAATGTTTTCATGCAACACAAAACGAATTAAATAAAACTACACATTCACAGTCTCCTCGCTGCTTATCGTATTTGTACGTAGGACTAGGTCTCACTTGGGCTTCACTGGCCTATTTGTGTTACTATGTTTCCACGATAAGATGCATTTAAATACATGGCCATCCATTCAGGCAGCTGCACATCAGTACATCTATTAGTCCTCCCATTTATCCATCGAACAAGTGATCTGTCATCTAAGCCAATGTTTCCCAACCTGTGATCTTTGAGCTACTGCATAAATTTTACATCAGAAAAAAATTCCATGGCGTACCATCAAACAAAACTCTTCCAAAAAGTATATGTAATTAAATATAATGGACTTCTAGTTTCAATTTACTCAAAACTGACTTTCTCAGTATTAAACCTTGGCGTATTTAGTTGAACATAACAGTAATATACTCACAGGATTTGCAAAAAGACATGCCTGAGGGTCATCTTCAACAGTTTCTTTTCTTATGTAAATATTTTTTAGTTTGTACAGCTTCTGTTTGTACAGCCTGTCTTCATTTTATGGTCATTTTATTAGTGCCCCAGAAGTAAGTGTTTAATCCTTAGTAATGTTTGGTAATTTACCATCGGTATGAGTTGTTGCGTTGTTGTGCTGGGTGTTGAGATGGTAGTTAAAGCTCAAGGGGCGTTAGTGAATTCAATTTTTCTCTGAAGTGTGTGTAAATAATCTGTGTCCACGATATATCAGAACAACGATAAGTGGATGCCTTTATAAAATGTGTTTCGCAAAGTTAATCTGGTTAATTTCACAAATGAATTAAAGTGATTAACAACCTAATTTTAATAGCAGTTAACCTTTATTGAATGCATGTGGACTGAATTGCAAGATTAAGGACAAATACACACACACACACGGACAGAGAATTGACATTTTAATTGACATTTTAACTTTAGGAGAGAAAATGTGACTAATGGTTAAACATAACCATTAGTTTCAGCCCTTAGCCTAATTGAGTATTAATTACAGCTAATGGATTTGTGAAGGTATCTTCATTGTCCAGTAAAAACAAGCAATAATCATTTATCATCAGTAATCACCATTCAAAAATCTATACGGTGCATCTCTCCCCTCATATCCCTGCTGTATTATATATAGTGCAGCCTTCTTGTGGTGTGCTGTATCAGGAACAGCTGAGGTCGCCTAAAAGTATTACAAGTCACGTGTGATTTAACGCAAGAGAGAAGAGCATATGAAATTGGATAAGTTGGACACTACCATTCAGTCAGTCGGATATCTGTCTTCATGAATCCTTCATGTCAACCTTCCCAAGCAATACAGCAGTTTATACATCTTTCTTCACGCATCGACTCCACATCCAATGTTGTACAGCTCATGCAAGATTAATCACTTTGTAACTGCAGTCAACAGGCTGTGAAATGAGAACGGAGAGCAGGTGGTAAATCTTTAAGTGATATCTCCACGTAAACTCAAAGGTCTGGTAGCAATTGTTAGATTTCAGTGGTTTTTCACATTTGGTTGGGTCTGCAGCAGGAAGGTGCTAAGACACCAAAAAGCTTTCCCGAGCACACATAGCCACACACATTCAAAGAGATTTTCCCCAAATTCTCTTCACGCCAACTTTCTAAAACACCTCTGCTCCCTGGGAACAATGGGAGATCTCCCAATTTACCTTCTCACAGGGAACCCCGAAGCCATCCATCCCTAAAAATCTACATGACCACCTGTGGTTGACTGG